AAAAAAAAAAAAAAGAACATATGTTAATTAAAATTTAAAAATTGATGAATTAACTATGTAGGAAAGAATCCATATTCTCAAAATAAGAAAACCAGAACTCACATTTCAAAGTCTTTATCTTGCAGAAGCTTTTAAATTTTGGATAATTAAAGTAAAATACAGTCTCTTGAAAAACAACTAAGAATTCAAGTTCATAGCACCAGCGTCCCTCAAGGAAATTTTCTATTGATTTGTAACTTGGCCTTGAATTTGACCTGTGGCCTTCATGTCATGATAATTTGGGTCACTCTGAATATGCCATCCCTTGAACAAGGGCCTCTGCTAATTTTAAATGAATGCAGCTGCCTGTTCGCCATTATTCTATTTGCATCACAATATGTGGGAATAAATTCCCAATTAATAAAACATTTCTAGTAAGCAGTCAGACTGAGGAAATAAAGGACATTTATCTAGTAAGTTTAAAGAGAGATGTCTCATTTTTCCTTTTTGGACATAAAAAAGGGAAGAAAACAGTTTATGTCTTTGATGGCTCTGATAGAGGCCAGAATTGTTCCCTGGGCTACAGCCTCTGAAAAAATCATTACCTCAAATTAGATTTTAGTTAAAAAAAAAAAGAAAGAATAAATTTAAAAAAGAGAATAAACAACAACAAACAAACAAACACATAGATATAGCGATTAGATTGGTGGTTACCAGAGGGGAAGGGGAGAGAGGGGAGGACGAAAGGGGTGACAGGGTACATGTGTATGGTGATGGATGGTAATTAGTCTTTGGTGGTGAACATAATATAGTCTACACAGAAATAGAAATATAATGATGTTCACCTGAAACTTATATAATGTTATAAACTAACGTTACTGCAATAAAAATAAATAAAACAACAGAAAAAAAGAATAAATGTAGAAAAGTTTGTACCAGGCCTAAAAAGTTCTCTCTTTTTCTTTTTCTTTACTTTCTTTCTCCCTTCCTCCCTCCCTCCCTTCCCTCTTTTCTTTTTCTCTCTCTCCTTCTTTCTCTCTCTTTTCCTTCCTTTCTGCATTTCTTTCTTTTCTCTGTCTTTGATTCAAAGAAAATGATTATTTTTGTGTGTGAGAAAGATCAGCCCTTAGCCAATCCTCCTCTTTTTGCTAAGGAAGACTGGCCCTGGACTAACATCGGTGCCCAACTTCCTCTACTTTATGTGGGACGCCGCCACAGCATGGCTTGACAACCCGTGCTGCAGCAGAGCGCGCGCACTTAACCGCTACGCCACCGGGCGGCCCTGAAAATGAATATTTTTCAAATTTGATTCATGGGGAGGGCTTGCATTTGATATTCAGTAATCAAAACCTTGGCGGTTAAGCACTTTAGGGCCTTCAGTCCATCTTGCGTCTGACGCTGCATTAATAATATATGGTCCGGATACAGGGAAACAAGGGGTCCTACTGAGGACTAGACCAGGGGAAGGAAGGAGACTAGAAGCTCTGTCATAAGAGAAACAAGTGAAAGAAGTTGAAAGACAAGGAACTGGGGTAGCTGGAGGAGGAGTTAGGGAAGTCTCAGCAGATGGGTTTTCGAGCTTGCTGTTTTCACTGTGTTCAATGTTCCTTTCTCTACGTTCCACCTGTTAAAATTCTCCAAGGCTAGACTGGATAATCATCTACTGTAAGAAGTTCCTCTTCTCACCGTGAGACGGTCCTCTCAGGAACCTTCTCCCTACTCCAAACCCCAGTAGCACTTGCTGCACCTCTATGACAACACTAGTGGTGGTCCCACTTATCTAGATCGGGTTAGGCAGGGCCATGAATGCCACACCAAGGGGCTTAAGGGAGCCATTACATTTCTGAGGACAGGCATGATTTGAGGTATCAAAGGCAGACTAAGAAGACATTTCAGTTTCAAACAGAAGGAAAAAGGTGCATGAAATTACTTGTTTTTTTTTTTTTTTTTTTTAGCATATTACTATGTGCCAGGTATTATGCATGGTTACCCCGCTTCACAAACGTGGAAGCCTGGTGACTCTCCCACACATTACTAGGCAGCCTCCATGTCCTCACCACCCTCTTTACCCTCTGTGATCTGGGAGTAATTGCTCCACTGAAATCGTGCTTTGAAGGCTCAGCTACGACCTGCTACCTGCCACGTCTAGGGACTCGTCCCCTTAGTCCTTATTCTCACTGTTTTGAGTCTACGGTCTTCCCGAAACATTTTCTTCTCACAACTCACGAACTGATTGTATTTTCCTCGCTTAATGTTTACAATTTGGAATGCATGTTTATCGTAGAAGCTTAAAACGAAGCTTAATTAGTTAAAGGCGGCTAGAGGTGGGAGACCCGAAGAGATTCTGAAGGGTATTTTCGAGCGCTTTAGACTTGAAAGGCGGGCGACAATAGTTCTAAAGAGAACGTCAAAGCCTGCAGATTTTTTTTAACGGCTCTATTCTCATGCATGCACGCCAGGGCTGGGAGGTAACTTTTCTGTTGTTTGCTTATAAAAGAAATCCAGAAAGGGAGCGGGGCTCGCCCCTTTTCTGACCTAAGGGCAAGAGTGAGGGGCCTGGGGGATTAGGTGCGGCTCCCCCTAGGCGCGCCCCTAGCCCAGCTAGGGCCGGGAGCCACCCTCTTCGCGAGGGGCGGGGCGCGCCAGGCGGCCACGCGCGCGGGCGGAGGAGTGGGCGTGTCCCGCG